TACATAATACCTCATCTCAGAAATATAGACAGATATTGGTACTTCTATTTTTAAATTTTTGATTCAAAAACACTTTTTTTTCTTAAAAAAATATAGATTATTTCTGGTGGCTGACATAAATTGTTCAGCCTATCTGAAAAGTGATGGGTTTCTATGACCTTTATTAATTAAATTTTGCGGTCTGCAAAGATCGTAAATTGAATTTTTTTCTCCATAAATGAGCAATTTCTTTACAGCAAAATTGGTAGCTAACCATGAAAAACTAAAGTGATTTTCTGAATCCGCAACATCAAATTAGCTAAAGAAGGTGTTTTGTTTCTGGCTCTTGATCTCTTCCCTGATCTACCTCTAAGATCAATGGAGTAAAAACAAACTGGCTTGTAAAATTCAATACTTCCAAAACTAAGCTATAAACGTTTCACCATCACTAAGTAGACACGGTTATGATGAACGTTTTCACGCTCAATAAACCTCTTTACATGGAACGGCTGTTGGGACGCCATTATTTGCACATCTCAAGGTGCAAACATTTTTTTTTTTAAGTATTTCACCCCAAGCAAGGCGGGAAGCCACTAGGACGCAAGGGGTTACAGAAAATTTAGAGCAAGATCAGATAGGAGTGATAGAAGAAAGGATTAGGGTAGTGGATAGATTAAGGCAACTGGAGATGTCGATTGACATTACATTTGAATAGTTGGAGATTATAGCTCTCAGGGAAACTGGAATGGGGAAGGAAGTTCCACAGGCGAGAGGTGCGAGACATGAAGCTATTAGAGTAGAAGAGACGGCTAAATTTAGGAGTCTCGACAGTGAAGGGGTGAGAGCGGGATGCCAGCCTCGTAGGGCGCTGGAACTCATGACGTCTGGGAGCCAGCGAATGCAGCTCCTCGGAGCATGAAAGTATTTGTAGAACAGACAGAGTGTCGCACCATTTACGAGGCAGAGAAAGGAAAAGAAAGAAAAGAAGGCAGAAAGAAAGGCGAGACGAATCGTGGGTGATCAGCAGAACACACACACGGCTAAGAGACAATGAATATATTGATAAGTAACCATGGTGAAAGGGTGTCATTACAATGACAGGGAAATTCTGGGTAAGAAGAAAGGGAAAGAAAGAAAGAAACAGATGTGTTTTGATAACGGCTGTGTTATCTAGGAGTACGTAAACAAAACGGCTGCTCGACTGGCCAACGAAAAATTCAATTGAAAACGTTAATTTTGATAATTGACAAAACACAGGTGTAACTACAGGACTTTGGGTAGATATGAAAAATTAAAAACCACACAAGCCGTGTCCGCTGACCGATTTTTTTCGACGAAACAACTTTGGCCTGCGATAATAAAATTATGTTATCAGAAATATGTACCGAAGGAAAATGAATGGGGACCCAGAAGTGTTTTTTCTTCTTCCTTGGAGGCGACAGACTGACTGAAACTTTAGAGATATTTCTTTTTTGAGGCCGTGTTAAGAAGACCCCCCATTTTGATAATTAGCGATAAAATACCTGACAAAAACCACGTGTAGAACAAGAGTTGTCATATTGCGGCTAGAAAAATGATAACGGCGATTAAAGCGGAAGAAAAGGGAAAGAGAAGAGATAATTTTTTTTTAGTTAAGCAAGAAATTTTTTTCCCCGAAACAAAGCCTCGCCCGACTAAGACATCATTGGTCAAGTGGTGATCACGTGACGCACGAAGGAGGAGGAAAGATACCCGACTAAGACCTCATTGGTCGAGTGGTGATCACGTGACGCACGAAGGAGGCTATCGACGCCTCATCCAGAGTATAAGTATGAGAAGCTGCTACGAAGAAGTGTGGAGGGCAGTTCACGCCCTCTGAAGTATGGTGAGAAAGTGGGAGTAAGGAAAGGTTCCCAAAAATGGAAATGAGTGGAAAATCCCTAACCAGAAATAAAAGAGGTGGATTTGTATTTAGAATTATCGAGGAACCCTCCGACGCCGACAGACCCACCCCGGTTTTGGTCGGCGTCAATAAAAGCGAGGCCCCAACAGGCAGAAATCAGAGAGTTTGGGCTCCAGCGGAGAGTTGAGTTTCCAGAGTTGAAGCCGCCTCGCAGATAGTTGACCAAGATTCACGCAAAATTCCGGACTCCTCTTCAACCCAAGAACAATTATTTTGAAGAGCGACTTAGAACCAGACCACCGAAATAAGTTTTTTTTTCGACTTTCGTCCAAAGACACCGAAATGCCAATTTCTTAGAGAGCAAACAACTTAAACCGTTAAAACTTGCCTAACGGAAACGACGTTTCACAATCCACAGAACGGGTCGGGAGATAGATGCAGTCCTATGTATCGAACAACTAGACATAAAGTTTGTTACCTTTTTCTTTGATACTTTGAACTTTTTGAGTTTTCATTTTCTTTTCTTTTATGCATATTTGTGTAGTATCACCCCCGTTGAACTCAGTTTGCATTACGGCCCCAACCACTGTTTGATCTCGTCTGCCTAAGATCAATTCACAACGTGGGTAGGCGGACTGGAGATCAATGCCGTTACCTTGGTAACCAGGCGTTGGAAGCGAATTGGGAACGACGAGGCTGATATCAAATCTAACCAGATTCCCACCCGAATCACCAAAAGGTTAGAACGTCACATTTGGGTGCCGCGACCGATACTAAGCCAGTTGGTCGTCACAGGACGAGACAACACGACTGACGCAAACAGGCGGACGTCACGTTTGGAGCAGCGACACCCGAACGGAGCAGCGAGGAGCGAACAGCTGGCGCCGCGGCGAGGACGTCACAATTGGTGCTGTTTGGGGACGTCACAACTGGCACCGTGGTAGATCAGGATAGAACGTCACAGTCGGCGCTGCGACCGGGGGACGACGTCACAAGAGGGAGGCGACGGCGCGTCTGTGAGAAAGTGACTGTAGACGAGACGCCAGAGCGGGGCCAACTACATTTATACGATATGTATTATTGATATCAACATAGCTGTTCATATGAATAAAGACAAAAACTAAACTTATCTTAGGCGACGCATTTCGTCTTCTGAAGGCAAATGCATAAACAGAACAAAAAATGTTGCAAGTTTTTCAATTTGTTTTTAAATTTAGGAACTCTTATAAATATACTAATATTTGACTAACTGAATATCAAGGTAAATCATGAAAAATGCTAAGACTTCATCAAGGCAAATGTAAGAATTTTATTTTGTATTAATTATTTACAAACAGAAGTGGCTAGTTTTTCTGAATTTTTAAAATTTGAGAGGCCTTATAAATATACATTTGACTAACTAAATTATAAAAAATTATAATTCTTCATCAAGGCAAATGTAGGAATTTTATTTTGCTATAATTATTTCCAAGCAGAAGAAATCTGTCACTTGTTTTTCAGCATTTTTACCATTGAAGAGGCCTCACGAACAGAAGAAAATTGCAGCTAGTATTTTAGAATTCTTAAATCTAAGAGGCCACATAAGTATACATTAGACTAACTGAATATCAAGATAAATTATAAAAAATGCTAATCCTTCATCAAGACAAATGTAGCAATTTTATTTTGCTTTTGAGAAATACTATTTTCACAATAACAATCAGATCTCAGTCTTTAAAAATAACTCGATTGAATTTTGGTACTTCGATTTTTAAATTTTTTATTCAAAAATACTTTTTTTTTTATAAAAATTAATTCTTTCAGGTGGCTGACATAAATTTTTTAGCCTATCTGAAAAGTGATGGTTTTCTAAGAACTTTAATAACTAAATTTTGCGCTCAGCCAAGGTCGTAAATTCAACTTTTTTCCAAAAATGAGCAATTTCTTTACAGCAAAATTGGTTGCTAACCATAAAAAACTAAAGTTATTTTCTGAATCCGCACCATCAAATTAGCTAAGGAAGGTGTTTTGTTTCTTGGAACCACAGTGGATAAATACGTTGGTTAGATACAGTGACAGGACCCAAAGAGTGTGAGTTCAATACCCGGTCAAGGCAGTGGAGAACTTTCAGAGAGAAATTAACAGGAGATAACTGATAACTGACATCCATTAAACATGGCACGTGGGACTAGAACAGTCTACCCCAGTGAGCGAAATAAAGGGTTCAGTTCGACATTCCAACCACCTGAAGAAGGCCGGAGCGTACAACGGCAGAAAAATTGTAATAAATATGGCGACATAGATGAGGACAATAGACCGAGTAATGTAAATAGTGTATCTATTTTGACTTCATAAATATATATTTTACGTGTTATAAATAATAGCATGAATGTAAGCGTGCTACTAGATTGGCGTTTAGGTCCCACGCGTTTACTGTTGAAATAATTAAAGGAAACCGCTAGTTCTGCACCAACAGTTTCTTTTCTCGTACACCCCGCCAGTAGAACTCCCTTCCGTTTATTTGTTTCCATTAAAATGTAGTCTTCAAAAATTTAATTCATCGTCAAGCGCGATCTTCCGTCTTCTTGAATTCCATTCGTCTTTCATCCTTTCCTCAATTGAACCCTATAAACATTCTTTTCGATCACTTTCACCCTCTGTAACCGCAGGTGTACTAGTGGCATTCTAGCCTTGCTTGGGGTGAAAAGATTGAAACCTTAAAATAGTTCATCCTATGGCGGTATCTGAGAATGACTGAAAATTTGAGCAAAGTGTTAAAGAAAATAGAAACTACAACGAAACCTGAGCACAAAATAATACCAAGTCAGAGACAGCTGAAATTTCTGGGTACCAATGAGAAAAGAAGGCCTGGAAACACTAACACACAAAATACATTCATTTTTTTTTTTTTTTTGATTGATTTGTTTTTTGATGATTACCAACCATTTGCAGGTTATTTAACGCTAATAAATATTTTTAGGTTGTAAAAAGTTTTGTGAGATAATACTAATTGACACATAGCTGGGGGTATACGTGTTGAATTCATATCTTTCTCAAAGGTACTTGCACGTAAGTGAACATAACAAACCTGATTGGATTTGAAACGCGGCTCTCCGACTTCCAACTCCGAGACGTCATCCATTACCCCCCACATCTAATCTTACAGCACTTAGTATTCACAAGCGGTCACTTATCTAAGTACTGCCCAGACTCGACGTTGCTTAACTTCGGTGGGCATGCGAGAACTGGTGTTTCAACGTGATATGACAGTAAGCCACACAACAAACACATCGAAAGCAAGAGAAATGAGAGAGCCACGTATTTAATGACTTTGAGTAAACGGTTAGCTTAAAATTAACCGTGTTGTTTATTAACAGATGGCAGAAAATCCAACACAACGATACGTGGGCGAATAATAACAATGAAAGATGAATGTAACTAACTCGACTGAGATTCGAACTCGGCTCACCGATTTCTAATTCCAAGCCGTTACACCAGAATGCACATCTCGATGGATTTATACCTTTACCATTCGCGTGTATAGAACGAACCCAACGGGAATTGGAACTCAGCTCTCCTATTAACAATTTCTGAGCTATTTACACCAATCGCACATCCAGTATCTGATATTTCGAATCGATCACTCGTCGATCTACTGACCAGGCTCCACGTTGCTTAACTTCAGTGATCGTGCAACAACATGATATGACCGTAGGTCACGCAAAGAACAACTCGAAAAAAGAAAAAGAAAGCTACCTACTTAATGATTTTGAATGAATGGCTAGCTGAAAATTAACTGTGTAGCTTCGCAACAGATGACGGAAAATTGCTACACAATTGTGAGTCCTGTGATCGCATAATAACAACGAAAAAAGTTTTGCTTAACTTCAGTTATCGTACAACAATGTGATATGTCTGTAGGCCACGCTAAGAACACCTCGAAAGCAAGAGAAAACACCGTGTCACCTACTTAACGATGTTGAGTGAATGGTTAGCTGAAAATTAACTGTGTCGTTAAGTAATAGATGGCGGGAAATTGCGACACAGAGACCTGTGAACTCATAATAACAGCGACAGAAGTTTTCCAAAAAGTAAGAAAAGTAATTAAAACACAACAAAATAGCGTTAGAAACAAATAATGATAACAAAATATCCTGTAATACTATGGAATATCAATAGTCTTATACGACAGAGAGCGCTGAACAATCTTCTCAAAGAGCAAGGTGAATGTCAAAGCAACTGAAAAGTGGTTCTGTTCGACGAAACCGAAGAATACCAATATTGAAAATATGAGTAACGAGAGTCTTCAGCAAAATGAGAACTACAAGGAAATTATTATCACGACGTTTCGGCCATTGTCCGCTTCGGCCTTCATCAGATGTATATTGATCCGATTAACCTACAGCGAATTTCAAACAGAACTCATTATTTAACGGCTCTGTCGATTGGGGCTGCAACTGAAACCAAACCCCAGTGAGACATAAATAAGACATGGCCTGAAGATTTCGCCACTGGGTATTGACCTCAGTGTCCATTTATATATGGTAGACAGTCTCGCCGTATTCGAGGGTCAAACAGCGCAGTTCCTAGGAACCAACAGTCCAGATACCAGCACATATGATTTGATTATAGTGGTGAAGGTTTTGTGCAGAACCAACCACACTGATGCACTACGTAGGTTTTGAATTCAGATTTGTCCTTCTCCTAGACCATTTGCCATCCAGGGCTATAGAACACAGTCTGTCTTGCTATTTTACCCATAGCTGGAGGGAGAAGAAGAGGATTTAAAGGGTAATAGCACGTAAATGAATGTAATGGATTCGACTGGAATTCGAACTCAATCCGAGCTGCTATCAACAACTCTATGCCTCTCTCTCTCTCTCTCTCTCTCTCTATATATATATATATATATATATATATATATATATATATATATATATATATTTTTCTGAGATGAGCTATTATGTAAATTATATACATTATTCGGACTATTGTACTCATTTCTGTCGCCATGTCACCTACTTAACGATGTTTAGTAAATGGTTAGCTGAAAATTAACTGTGTCGTTAAGTAACAGATGGCAGGAAATTGCGACACAGAGACCTGTGAACTCATAATAACTGCGATATATATATATATATATATATATATATATATATATATATATATATATATATATAGAGAGAGAGAGAGAGAGAGAGAGAGAGAGAGAGAGGCATAGAGTAGGTGATAGCAGCTCGGATTGAGTTCGAATTCCAGTCGAATCCATTACATTTGTTGTGTTTTAATTACTTTTCTTACTTTTTGGAAAACTTCATTTTTTTCGGCCGTTGTACGCTCCGGCCTTCTTCAGTTGGTTAGGATGTCGAACTGAACTCTTTATTTCGCTCACTGGGGTAGACACCACAAAAGTATTCACACATTTCCGATGTCTGTTTTTTTTTTAATTTCAGGTCAATGAGTCGGTACTGATTTATGCATCTGAAAATAATTCATATTTATCTGCATCTCATTCATTTAAATCGTGATTTAACTTCTCGATTTAAAACTTCTCTCTTTTACATTTTATTCCCCACCCTCACAGTAAGGCTTTTCCTGTTCTTCTTTCTTCCATTACACCTCTCTCTAGAGCTTTCATACATTTCCTTCTCACCCGTGTTTCCCACTCCCACACATACACTCTCACTGAAATTTTGTTTTAATACCCGTAGTTATATTTAGCGATTTCTTTTTTTGAAGGTCTGATGATATATATATATATATATATATATATATATATATATATATATATATATATATATATATATATATATATTTGTAGGTCTGATGAATTGGATCGTGATTACGATTCCAATGTAATAAATTGTAACCATGGAATATTAGTGTTTGAGCTTTTATATTATGAATTCAAGCGTCCTACTAGGCTGGCATCCCGCTTTCACCCTTTCACTGTAGAAACTCCTAAATGTAGCCGTCTCTTCTACTCCAATAGCTTCATATCTCGCAGCTCTCACCTGTGAAATTCCCTTCCCTTTTCCTGATTCCCTGATAGCTATAATCTAATTGATCTATCCCCTATCCTTCTCCTCATCCTTTCCTCTATCACTCCTATCTGATCTTGCTCCAAATCTTCTGTAAACCCCTTGCGTCCTAGTGGCTTCCCGCCTTGCTTGGGGTAAATCGCTTAAAAATATATATATATATATATATATATATATATATATATATATATATATATATATATATGTATGTATGTATATACAAAAAAAAAGGCTTAAACGCTAATATTCCATGGTTACTCTCGTTAAATTTATTTTTTTATTCCCTGAGTTATTTTTTTCTGATTTCTTTTTGAACTTATAGGTCTGATGAAGTGGATCGTGATTACGATTCCAATGTAATAAATTGTAACCATGGAATATTAGTGTTTGAGCCTCTTATATTATATTCTTAGTCTGTCTTGCACACAGAGGTCTACCTAGATTTCATCCTCTAGGAAATATATATAAATATATATATATATATATATATATATATATATATATATATATATATTTGATACTAATATATATATATATATATATATATATATTGACTAATATATATATATATATATATATATATATAGCGGTAAATATATATATATATATATATATATATATATATATATATATATTGACCACTAATATCATATATATATATATATATATATATATATGTCTACTTATTTTCAATACAATCCTCTCATATTTACGGACAATTTTTTATTATGCTTATTAAAGAAAGAGAGAAAATTATTATGTTGATACATATTCATTTATAACGCGTACTTTTGACATTAGTATAATGCCATCATCAAGATGTTGTCTTTTCTAAAACAACAAATTTTTGTGTTCATCATTTTTTTCTAAAACGAATTGGTTGTGTTTATCTGAAAGTTATTTTTTTTTACCTGTGTTATAATATTATATGAAAAGTTTACTTAATTTTTAAATATCAATTTTAACCCGACTTCGAAGTTTCTTTGTAAAACTTCCAGTTTTTTGTTCATTTGAAAAAAAAAATAGAAATACCGTTTAAAACCACAACCCCTGAAGACTGGAAATTTTACCAAGAAACTTCGAAGTTGGGATAATATTGATATCTAACAGTTAAGTAATCTTTTCATATAATATTATTAACGCTCTATTGTTAATATCATTTTAATATTTTTAATATCGAACACTATATATAAAATATAGTGTTGTTTCTTAAATCTTGAAGTTTATATGAATGTTGTAAATTCTTAATAGTATATGAAATGCATATATTCATATCTACGCAACTCTGCTAATATATATAAATATATATGTGTGTGTGTGTGTGTGTGTGTGTGTGTGTACTTCACCTTATCTTTGTCTCCCTCTCTTTGCTTCTTTCTCAATATATTTCTCTCTTTCTCTCTCACTTTTAATATCACACACAAAAGATTTGCAGACGAACACGATAATTTTATATATATATATATATATATATATATATATATATATATATATATATATGAAGAAATATAGTCTTAAGATATGCTATATTTATGGGATAAAATGCTCAATATCACAAATAGAGCGTGTGTCAATATAAAAGTGAACATTGAAGTCAACACTTAGAAGTGACAGTCTGTTTTATGTTAGATGCAATCGTCAGGCCTAACGACTTGACTTCTATGTTCACTTTTATATATATATATATATATATATATATATATATATATATATATATATATGTATAAGTGTAATAACTGGCCACTCGTATTAGAGAATCGCCCTCTATTAGGGCGGCTAGCCAGTCCCTATTGCAGAAGCTCGCTGAGACGCATTTGTGTTTATTCAACACCCTCAGGGGCAACCTGTGGTTTATTATGCAACTATGCTAAGCAGACCTTAGTTACTTTTTTCGGGAAAGAGGGTGTTATCTAGCCGGATCAAAACTGTGAACAAGGCCAGCACGCTTAAACCCTCGGTCACGATGACTTGTGACTTCGTGCTCGCACAGTTAACGACGGCCCACAAGAAATCTGTCTACCCAATTTCACTCACAAGGCTTGGGTCAACCCGTGACATGGCTTTCAGGCACTTTCCAAATGTACCGCAAGACGTCGATCCAGTCCGATAATATCAGGAAGTTGCCTTCCCAACAAATCGACCATAGTGAGATCTGAAACCGGGTCTCATGGTCAGAAAGCGAATGTTCTAACCACTTGGACACACACATATATATATATATATATATAT